GCCGGTGTGGCTCAGTTGGTGGGGCACTGTCCATGCACTAAAGGGTTGCCAGTTCAATTCCTGATTCTTGTTTGATTCCATTCATAAAGCCCACCCATCCATACAGCCCCTATTGATTGACACATTCTTGCTGGAACAGCTCCCAATATATTCCCCCTTATGTTGAAACCTCTCCTCCACCCCAAGTTTCTATAAGAACAGCCCTTTTCTTTCATTTTATGAATAATGACTGACACCTGCGTCTCACTAACCGGACCTGGACTCCTCCTATGCCAGTATTGGTAAAATCTGAGAACCAAACCCAATTACACTGTAGAGCCCCCCACTAAATCTCCATATGCAAATGGATCTATATCTGGACTTCTAATTTTTCCTTCTTTAGTCTCTCATTCTGTCTAGTCATGTGTCCGCATTACACTGTTTAAATTAGAAAAACTTCATACAGTACATATTTTCTGGCAGAAGCATTCGACTTTTTGTAGGCTGGTACAACTAATCCCCTGCCCCTAGCTTCAGGGTTTTCCTGACTTTTATTGTATGTTTGTATTTCCATCTGAACTTTACTATCAATTTCCTGGTTCTGTACAATGAGGGAACCCAGGTGCAAGGACATCCAGTAACAATGAGTACATCTAGCTGCCATATCTTGGCTTTGAAATACTGTTATCCTAGGGCTAAGTCTGGGAAAGACCAAGATATGCCTGGAGGTGATGTCAGTGGAAAGGTGAGAGTAGGGGCCTATAAAAATCCTCTCCTCCACAAAGCAATGAGAATACTGGCAAAAATTATCAAAATTAAATTTTTCCAGGACTTTTAAAACTGCCCAAAGTGTATAACAATTAAAAGAATGTCTGAATCTCATTAAGAACAGTAAGTTTTGTCCATCTAAACTTTCCCTGTTCCCATCTCCCCACTTCCACAACAGCCTTGAAAAGCAAGAGCCTTGCAATCCTGGTGTAAACCAGCAGTCTAGAAACCACAGCAGGAGGCAGAACAGGGTTGGGGTCCCTTCAAAGTTCCATTCTCAGACAACTATATTTGAACTTTCACTTTCCTAGAAAACTCCACTCACAGGACTTGTCTATCTGATCTGACTCAGAGTTTACCTGGTGTGAACAGCTTTGCCTGAGGCTGCTTTTTAGAAACAATCAGCAGCAACTGTTTAATATAGCAGGTGCTTGAAGCAGTGATTACAGTTATAACAAACAACAAGTTGACCAAAATACCCAACAGAAAAGATGGGTAATGAGAGCTCCATAGGAGGCTTTGAAAAGCTCTGACATGTTCCTGGAAACCTAGAAAGGCACAAATATGCATGCCCGGGATCTCTGGCTGACCTCAAGGCTCTGCACAAGTAGTATGTAAACTTGGGGTGGGGAACCTTTTGTCCTGCCAGGAGCCATTTGGATACTTATAACACCATTAGCAGGCCATGCAAAATTATCAACTTAAAAATTAGCTTGCAATATTTGGCCAAACATTTAACTAACTCACCCATGATGCTTTGGCAGGGCCAGACCAAATGATTTCACGGCCCGTGGGCCAGACATTCCCCACTCCTGATGTAAAGGCTAAGGCAAGGTTGTAAATAGCCTGCCTGAACACTGAAGGAATGCACCAACATGCACACAGAGCCTATTAGCAAAAGCTTGCAGACTTACTGGTTCTAGGTTTTTAAAGAAATACCTGTCCAATCATTAGCTGGCTACTACATTAATGAAGCAGATACTTCAGTGGCTGTACATGGCAAAGAATACACAATTTGCAGACTTAGTTCAGAAACATCACTAAAAAAACAAAGAACAACAAAAACAAACCCTGGGGATGGAGAAGAACCTGATTTCCAGAGTTGTCACATTATGTTATTTCAAATGTTACGTTTTTAACAAAAATTTATGAGACATGCAAAGAAGCAATAACATATGCCCCAAATACAGAAAAGTAAAGAAGTCAGTAGACAATGTCCCTGAGGAAGCCCAGATGTTGGAATTCATTCACAGACTATAAATCAGCTATGTAGAATATTTTTAAAGAGCTAAAGAAAACCATGTCTAAAGAACTAAACAAAATTATAAGAATGGTGTTTTAATAAATAGAGACTATCAATAAAGAGATAGAAATGATAAATAATAGAATTCTGGAATTGAAAAATATAATGTAAATGAAAATAAGGAGCTCAACAAGAGATTTGAGCTGGCAGAGGAAAGAATTAGTGAATTTAAAATAGGGCAACTGAGCCCTAGCCAGTTTGGCTCAGTGGATAGAGCGTTGGCCTGCGGACTGAAGGTCCCAGGTTCCATTCTGGTCAAGGGCACATGCCCAGGTTATAGGCTCGATCCCCAGTGTAGGGCATGCAGGAGACAGCCAGCCAATGATTTTCTCTCATCATTGATGTTTCTCTCCTTCTCCCTTCCTCTCTGAAATCAATAAAAATATTTTAAAAATTTAACAAAATGAACAGGGCCTCAGAGGCCTGTGGAACACCATAAAACAAATCAATACACACATAATGAGAGGAGAGAGAAAGGCGTAATAAAGAATCTTGGAAGGAATAATGGCTGAAAACCTCCCAAATTTTATAAAAAAAATAATCTATAAATTCAAGAAATGCACTAAACTTCAAGTAGGATAAACTCATAGAGATCTACCTCTAAATGCATGATAAACAAACTTATGATTATTGATACCATAATTCTCAACAAAATGCTAACAAACTGAATCCTACAACATGTAAAAAGATTGTATATCAGATCAGGTGGGATTTGGCCCAGGAATGCAAGTGTGGCTCAACTTATATGAAAATCAATTAGTGCAAACATCATAGTCATAGAATAAAGGCTAGAATCTACATGATCATATCAATAAACACAGAAAAAGCATTTAACAAAGTCCAACATATTTTCATGATTAAAAAACACTCAGCAAACTAGGAATAAAAGGGAACTTTGTCAACACTTGGGTAGCAGTTAATATATGACACATTCACTGTTTAATTGTTTTCACTCATTGAATAATTAATTATCATACTAACTATTATTCATAAACTATTATTACCCACATTTTGCAGATGGGTAAACTGAGGCACAAAGCATTTAAATGATGTTTCCTATGTTAGGAAGCTAATTAGTTGTGTAGCTAGGTTTCCAATACAGAAATTCTGGCTACAGAGTCCACACTCTTAGTCACAGTCAGCCATACTATCTCTCAAAGAATGTGGAATTATCATAATGATAAATTGGGTTTGCTTAGAACTAATGAGTTGATCTTCATCTGTAAGTAAATTTAATGTACAACACTGTGAATTTATATCAGTGATCATAATTTGTAATACTGGTAAGAATGTTTAATAGTACCTTGGGATTGCACTGTCAAATAAATAAAATTAGCTTCTATCCCAAAAAAATGTCTAATAGTAGTACCAATGTTATTTAACCAAGTTGGCAATGTTGGGTCAATATTGATATTTAATTGTAATTTAATTCAGAAAACTAGTAATGATTATTTACATAAGTAAAAATAATTTGTAACATTTTTAAGTTTTTAAAAATATATTTTTATTAATTTCAGAGAGGAAGGGAGAGGGAGAGAGAGATATAAACATCAATGATGAGAATCATTGATTGGCTGCCTCCTGCACACCCCCTACTGGGGATTGGGCCTGCAGCTCAGGCATATGCCCTGACTGGGAATCGAACTGTGACCTCCTGGTTCATAGGTCGACATTCAATCATTGAGACACACCAGTCGGGCAACATTAAATTTTTAAAAATTAGTTTTAAAGTTTGACAGCATTCATAATGGTGATTCAATTTCTATTTGTAACTAAAATTTTATTCATAATTGTGGTACTCATAATTTATATTAGTAATCATAACTTTAATATTAGTAATTATTTATAATAACAGTTGGAATTTAACCATATTAATAATTATTTCTATTAGTAACTATACTATAATTCAAAACATATTAGTAATCTTAATTTGTAACATTGCCAATAATTTGTAATAATATTTTACAATGTTTTACTAATAGTTTAAT